TAATTTATTGACTATTCCTTCATCTATGTCATTGATATAAATAAAAAAGAGCAAAGGTCCTAAGACTGAGCCCCGAAGTACCCCACTTATGACATTAATCCAGTTCAACTGAACTCCATTTGTAACAACCCTCTGCTTTCTTCCATCCAGCCACTCTTCTATCCAATTTATCCCCGCATTTATAAAGCTAATTGTTTTTACAAGCCTTTTATGTGGTACTTTATCAAATGCTTTCTGAAAATCAAGATACACCAAATCTACACACTTACCCTCATCTACATAAGCACTAACCTTTTCAAAGAATGTTAACAGATTCTTAAGACAAGATTTTTCTTTAGTGAAACCATGTTGACTGTCCAATAAAATTCTAAACTTTGTTAATTGACTTTGCAAAGCATCTTTTAACAAACTTTCCAAAACTTTTTTCCACAACTGATGTAATACCAATGGGTCTATAATTACTGGAACAATTTTTATCACCTCCCTTGAAAAGAGGAGTTACATTAGCTAACTTCCAATCCTCTGGTACCTGCCCACTATTCAAGGACTGACCAAAAATAGTAGTAAGTGGCTCACATATCCAATCTTTAACCTCCTTCAAAACCTTTGGGGAAATATCATCTGGTCCAGGAGCTTTGTCATTTTTTAAACTTCACAATTTTTTCTTAACTAGCTCAGAATTAATAAAGCCATGTAGTTCGATCTTGTTTCCATCTATCAACTGTTCAAGATGGGGAATCCTGCTTAAATCTTTGTTAGTAAAAACCAAAGAAAAACAAAATTTAATAACCCAGCCATCTCATAATCATCAGATACTAGCCATCCTTTATCATCCCTCAAGGGTCCTACCTCCATCCTAATATTTTGTTTACCCTTAATAAATTTATGAAATCCTTACTGTTAATTTTTACATTTTCAGCCAACCTTTTCTCATACATCCTGTTTGATGTCCTAATTTCCTGTTTCACCAACTATCTTGATCTTCTATAATCTTCTAAATCTCCTGTGATACCAGTCAATTGAAATTTCTTAAATTTATGATGCCTTTCTTTAATTTTATCTCTTAAACTCTTTGGTTTTTTTACTTCCAGCTACTCTTTTCCTTCTATAAAGAATATGTTTATCCTTGAATATTTAAAAATTTCTACATCTGATCAATGTGTCCAAATAACTCAACTCCCCAATTCACAACAGATAATTCTTGTCGCATCCCTTCAAAATATGTTTTTTGAAATTTGTAACCAAAATATCATTATTCCTTATCTCCATATGCAGCGACACATCAAACCTAATACAGCAATGATCACTTGCACCCAGATGTTCCCCAATTTCCACCCTCTCGATCATTTCTATATTTGAAGTCAACAATAAATCTAAAATAGCATTGTTTCTAGTTGGTTCCTTGACTAATTGGCAAAGAATGCCATCTTGAACAGTTTCCGAAAACCTTTCTTTGTTATGGTTTGACTCTAGCATTTTCCAATCTGAAATCAAAATCACCCATAATTATGACTTCGTTAACAGCAGAAATCTTAATCTCATTGTAAAGTTTCTCACTA